TAATTAGTAAATATATTATTAAAATCAATATTTAAAATTTTTATCTAATTGTAAAAAATATTAAATAAGTTAGCAGGCAAATTTGCCTGCTCTACAGATTAAGGGATATAGTTATATATTTTTTTGTCTATAGAATTTATATCATATTATCTAGTAATATTATTAAAAATTATTTCAACTTTACTAAAATATCTATATTATAGTACATTTATTAGCTAAACACAAATTTACTAGTGATTTTTAAAATTTAAACTTAAGTAAAAAAATTTTAACTTTTCAGTCTATAATACAATATATCTAACCTATTTTTCTACTATCCTAACCTATTTTAACTTTTAGTAATTGCAATCATAACCTATTTTAACTTTCTGTAATTATAATTACAACCTATTTTAACTTTTTATCAATTAAAATCCTAACTACTTTATCTTTCTGTAATTGTAATCAGAATTTATAACATTTAGATTTAGTTAGTAGTTTGATGTCTATAGGTAAATATTTCTTTATTTGACTTGGTTTCTTGTATACTAGTGACTTTTTGCTAACTTTAATCCTTAATTACTATACTACTTTAGGTAACTAGATAATAATATAACCACAACTATCATACTACTTTGAATAGTTAGATATGATAACCACAGCTGATCCTAGTATATTAGAATAAAACAGCTAGATAGGATATTTAATATTCTGGAAAAATAGGTAATTACAAGAATCAGGTTTTATGTTGTTAGAAATTTAATGAACTTATTTATTATTTTAGATATTTATTATATGAAAGGAAGTCAGATTATTATTTTTAATAATACAAAGTTGAGAGATGTCTTCCCTCTATAGCCTTCATAGCCTTTATTTATACTTTTTACAATATATAAACGTATCTGGTTTATTAATTCATTTTAACCTATTAATCTATTTAAACTACTTAATCAAATTTACCCTATTAGTCTCTTTAATTTCATTAATCCGTTTAATGAGATTAATGAGATTAATTGACGGATCACCTAATTAAGGCATATGATCTGCCCAGCCGCGTTTCACACGTCTAAATAGTTACTCGTGATATACGCAGTTTATACGTATCACGTTCCAATATATTGCAAATATTTTTGCACTGAAAATATTTGGTTTATTGAAATTAATTAACTGTTAAGTTGGCATCACTATGTATAATTAATTATTAAGATGATTATTCCTATAAGATAAAAATTACTTCGCTAATCTAAAATATTTCGATATCCTAAAATATTTATGATATTTACGACACCCGAAAATATTTATGATACCCTAAAATATTTACGACACCCTATAATATTTACGACACTCTAAAATAATTTCGACACTCTAAATTATTTACGACATTCTAAAATATTTACGACATCCTAAAATATTTATGACATTCTAAAATAATTTCGACACTCTAAATTATTTACAATTTAGACTGTCTAAAATGATTTTCGCCATTTAAATTTTCGTCAAGGGCAAAATAATTTAGACACCCATGTATATGTGCGAGGTAAGGGCACATAAGGTTGATCATAATTATTGAATTCCACTTCTCCGAATCACCAACGTCACGCCTCTGGCGAGGAGCTTAAAGAAGGTATACAATTTATCCGTAACATTTGGTGGTGACTTACTGAATTACCCGTAACACTTAGTGGTGACTGACAATTCCGCCCGTAACAATATATAACATACAGTCTAATTGCTTGATCACAATAGACCGTCTATTGATTTATTAGCTAGTTTATTCCTATTCACAACCCCTAAAAAAAATCACTCTAAAAAATTTACGAATAACGATAAGTAAAAATAGTACTATATTAAATTTTAATGATTTCGTTTTCAATGTTAAACGCGAATCCAGTCCGGTCCGGTCATAGGATCTGCTAAGACAGTCCAGGATCTAGATCCTTGATACATGAATGAAATCGATCCTAGGACCCGGTCCTGGATTGCCAATCAAATCGTTCACATTTTTTTTTAAAAAAAAATTTTTTATTAAAAGCGAACAAGTTTTTATTACAAATATAAAAAAAAGAAAATTTTAATATAAAAAAACTAAAATTATAACATATAAAAAAATTTATATATATATAAAACGAAATTATATATATATCGAATATAAAAAAAAAGATTTTTTTTGATTTTTTTTTTTTTTTTTATAGAGATCCGGTTTACTTACCTCCTCTTTTAGCATACTTAAACTGAGAACATAAATGATTCATTAAGGCGTATGCCTTTCAAAAAAAAAAAAAAAAACTTGCCAATTGCAAGAATTTCTTCCTGCCAAAGGCTATTGCAAGTACACTATTCAACGTTCAACGAATGCAGATCTTGAAATTATAAAAAACTTGCCAATTGCAAGAATTTCTTCTTGCCAAAGGCTATTGCAAGTGCACTATTCAACGTTCAACGAATGCAGATCTTGAAATTATAAAGGGACCGGATCCCAGGATTTAGGTCCCATATAACTATCATGCAATTTAAGGATCGAATCCGGTCAGGATTCGGTCCCAAAGGACTGATTAACATCCCTAGTTTTCAATAATTAGTAAACCTTATTGTTTGTATCCGAGTAAACCTGATTATTTGTATCTGAGCGAACCTGACAATTCATATCAGAGTAAATTTGGTGATTCGTGTCAGAACAAGCCTGTTTGTTTGTGTCTATGAGCAGATCAGGCATTCTGGTTTTGTGTTTTCGATACAATATAAAGCCAGAAGCCACCAATGCGCTAATAAAAATGAAAGTGCCTATTACACCGATCACTATTACACCTACAGACTTAGATGATGATGATGATGGTGATCCGGGTGAATTTGGAGTCTGGGATGGATTATTCGGATTTCCACTTGCTATGAAGTTCGTTAATGTCATGTTTCTGCTGTTTTTAGTGACATCAAAGATTGCAATTCCTGCCAAACTTTTATTATGTATAAAATCGAGTTTGGCAGATAATGATTGAAAATCTTCATAAGAGACATAATAATATTGATTAGATTGGGAAGATAATTTTTGGTAGATATATGGCTGTTTGGCTTTATTATCAAAGCCACGGACCCATTTTGATGATGTATAACAAGGTGATAATAATTGAGAACTTAAATTTTTCCATGACCAAGATGCTGATGCAACTTATAAAGTTCCACATGAATCTGAAATAATCTCATCAGCAAAGGATAAAAATTCTTGACTTGGAACGTTTAGAATTTTAATAACTTGATTATCTATATCTCCAATATTATTGGAAGAAACACCTTCGACAATTCCTCCAAAATCAACGCCTAAAACGAATTTAGATTTATCAAATCCAGTAATACTAGTCCAATTCATGACTATGCTATTAATATTGACTATTCCAGCACTTGCATATGTGCTTGCGTTGTTTAAATTAAGATGAAATGCCTGAAATGTATTAATAAATAAATTAAATAAATGTTTACAGTTTCATCTGTTAAAAAAATTAAATCTTACTTGAATATTCACAAAACTAACTATATCTCCGATGTTATTTAAAGGATATTGGCCTGCGGTAATGGTTAAAATCTTATTTTTATTAGACTGTTTTAATGTAATTGATGTATCATTTAAGAACTGCGTGAAAAAATCATCAAAATTAATGTTCCCATTTATTGTTGTTGGAAAGCACGGAAGCTTCCTAGGGTAATCAATGTCAATCTATAAGGTAACGAAAAAAATTAGTTAACGCCAATAACTATTGAATATTAAAA